AGTCAGCCTGGGTTATATAAGAAGGTCAGCTGAGCAACCAGGAAGAGCAAGCCAGTACGTAGTGTTCCACCACAGTCTGCACTTTATTTCCTTGGCTTCCATCTACGATGGACTATAGTCTGTTGCCATTCAGGCTCTGCTTCCCCACCCATCACAGCCCCAATCGGCCACCAGTCGAAACTGATGGATCCTGAGAGGGGTGAATGAGAGAAGGGGGAAGCAAGAGGCAGAAACAGAAACGGTGTGAAAGATACCTTAGGGGGGCTGTGAGTACAGTGAGAAACAAACTCTCAGGAGACAGCTTCAGTGATAACAGCTCATTTAATTGGGGGAACCAATAAACCTTTGTGGGCTGAGTGTGCATTATTGGCCAGGGCTAGGATGCTGGGGATGCCTCATTTGCATTATAAGGAATCTCAGGTGCTGCCAGACATGACCATAAAAGGTGAAAAGAAGTTTAACCAGGCTATCAGGCCAGGTGACCGCCTCTGGTGGGCAAAGGCAGGGGAGCAAGGGCTATGTGCACCGTACATGCAGGCCTGGGGAGTTGGGCACTGATCCTGCTCCTACCAATCTCAGGACGAGATTTCCGTGGTTTGGACACACCTCAATCCCACTCTTCCTCTGGGCTGGCTTCCCTGGTCCCATGGCTCCCTAGCTCCACACTATGTAATCCAAATAAATTCTCTCCTCCCTAAGTCAAGGTATTTATCATAGCAACAGAACGTAAAGTATGATAACCGCCATCCATATAGGCGGACGGACTACCCCCCTACCCCAAACCCCATTTAGTGTTGCTCTTATATTTAGGGATGACCAATTGGGATTGGATAGACTATCGGGGCCTTGTCCCTGTAGAAGATTGATTCTCCCTCCCTCAGCAGTCATTAGTTTTAGCTCTTCATCTGGGAATGAGGCCATGTGAAATTTTCCCTATGTGAGTAAGCGCTAATTGTTGTCATTATACAGATCTTGTTCAGGTCAGCACATTCAATATTCTATAAGTACAACAATGTTATTTTTCTCCAGAAAAACATCTGATACATAGGAGCATCATCTTCCCTATTTCCTAGAAATTAAGGAAGGCCAGACATTCCTGTGTTCTTTCCCACATTTGTCGGCATTCCAAATTCCCTTCTTTTTTCAATTTTTTAAAAATAAATTACAGTTTATTCACTTTGTATCCCAGATGTAGCCCCCTTCCCCTCCCAATCCCACCATCCCTCCCTCATCCCCTCTCAGGACCCTCCCCAAGTCAGAGGGAAGGGGAAGAGGATCTCTCCAATTCCCTTCTTAAGAGATATCAACATGGATGTTCCCATGTCCATGTCACAAATTCATCACATCCTCTCATAATCTAAATTCAAACCCCAAGATCATTTGGCTAAGCTATACCAGCCACAGGCCTCTATATCCCATGGTGGAGATCCCTGCATTTCCATGCTCGTTACTGTTCTCACAGCAGCTAGGAAATGAAACCAGCCTAGATTAGTGGATCATTAGTGGATGAATGGATAATGACAATTTAGTATTGATTTTTCCTTGGTACCTTTCTATTGGGTTCCACAATGTCTAAACCATTTTTTAATACTACCAGTGTATATAAAGCTTCCTCTTCCTACTAATCCTGGCCAACACTTGTTGGTGATTGCTTTGCGATGATAGCCATTCTGATGGAGGATAATAGTTTTAATTTGCATTTCCATGAGCAGTGTTCCATAGACTGGAAGTGGAGTTACAGGTGGTTGTGAGCTGCCTAATGTAGGTGCTGAGACTCCGAGCTGGGTCTTCTAGAAGAGCATCACATGCTCTTAACCACTGAGCCATCTCCCCAGGCCTTTTCATGGGTATTTTTTGGATATATTTCTTGCCTATTTGTATTTCTTCTTTAAAAATTTTTTTGAGAACTTCATACATGAAGTTCCATATCATCTATATCATTTCCACCCCCTCAATTTGTCCCATGTTTCCCCCTCCAATAGTCATGACCTCCTCTTTAATTATTATTGTTATACATATATAGATAAGTAAGTATACACATATATACATACATACAACCTACGGAATCCATTTAGTATTGTGTTTATGTATATAGATTCATGGATGATGACCCCTGTACTTCTTCTTTCGAGACATCTTTATTTCTTTAGCCCATTTATTAATGGTAAATTTTTTGTGTGTGTGTGTGTAATTTTTTTGAGACAGAGTCTCACTGTGGTTGGCCTGGAACTCTCTTATGTAGAGCATTCAGTCTTGTCTCAAAGTCCCAAAGATCTGCCTTCTTCTGCCTCCCAAGTGCTGGGATTAAAGATATGTACCACCACACCTGGCTTTGTACTTTTAATTTTTGCAGGCCAGTATATATTTCAGATATTGGCATTCTGCCAGATGTATAGTTGTCAAAGATTTTCCCCCACACTGTAAGGCATCCCTTCACTCGGCTGTTTCCTTTGCTGTGCAGAAGACTTTTTGTTTTATGAAATTCAACTTGTGAAATTTAAAGATTTTTTTTTTTCCTGAATTTCTGGGGTTCTTTTTGGAAAAGCCTATATTTTAAAGTATTTTGATTCTATTTTCCCTTATTATTGCTAAAGTTCCACGTCTTACGTGAGTATTTCATTCATTTTGAGTCTTTTTTTGTACCAGAGGAGAGGTGCAGGCTTGTTTTATTTTTGTCACATGTGCACATACAAGGTCCTCTGGACCATTTATTGAGTACGCCTTTTCCAATACTTTTGGCTGTCACAGTATGGGTTTACTCACTTGCAGCCCTTTATTCTTTTCTATTAACTACATGTTTGTGTTTGTTGCATTGTCATACAATTTCTGTTACTGTTGGTCTAGAGTCATTTGAGATCAGGGACTGTTAATGTTAGCCTTGCTCTTTCTACTTAGATGACGTTGGTTAGCCTAGGTCTTTTGTGTTATATGAATCTTAGAATGTTTTTGCCTACTTCAGTGAAGAATGTTATCGAATTTTATTAGAGATTATGTTGAATAGGTATATTGCTTTTGGTCCTAGCCATCATGCCTTTCTTGCCAGATGGACTATATCACTTTAGACTGTGAGCCAAAATAAATCACATCACAAAAGTCATATATTATGTAAGAAAGGAAAAGAACCTAGTAATGTTGGCTCATCTCTGCAATCTAAATATTTGGGAAGCACTGGCAGGAAGATCAGGTGTTCAAGGTCACCCGCAGCTACATAGTATGTCTGAGGCCAGCCTGAGTTACAGGAGACCCTGTGTCTCTACTTCCATGACAAAACACCATGTCCAAGGTAACTTATAAAAGAAAGGATTTGATTTGATACTGACATTTCCAGAGGGTAGTTGAGTCCATGTGGAGAGTATAGGCAGCAGACAGAGGCAAGCATGGTCCTGGAGCAGTAGTTGAGATCTTACATCTTGAGACAGCAACCACAAGACAGAGAGAAAGTGGCTTACTGGGAATGATGTGGGCTTTTGAAGCTTCCAAGCCAATCCTCGGTGACACACTTCTAACAAGGCCATGCCTTCTAATCCTTCTCAGACGGTTCCACCAACTACAGAACAAGCATTCAAATATATGGACCTTTGGGGGCCATTCAAAACACCACACCATGTCCAAAACAAACAAAAAAAATAAGTACACTAAGGCCTCTGTTTCATCAAGCCAGGGATGGACTTAGGAGAATGCGAAGGTAGACTGCAAAGTGACACAAATACCTTCTGTTGCTGAAGTTATCTCCCTGGGGGGAGGTATAAAATAGTTTCTATGCCTCTTACTAGGATCAAATTCACCTTGAAGAACCAATGAGTTCATCAGGCTTTACTTGAAGACCAATGGGTGAGAGGTTATGAGTGTGAGTGTAGATGGTCTTAAAGGAGCGACACTGGAAAGTCTTCAACCAACATGGATAATGACTGTGTGCATGGGATCCTGTCCACAGTCCTTCCCAGCCTATACTGTTCCCTGCCTGGGCAACATGTAATTGGTACAGAACTGCATACAGCTGGTTGGAGGGAGTAGTTGGGTGAGGACCCTTGGATGAGGGTCCTTTATGATCTCCTTCCCCCCTTTTATGAGGGAAGGTCAACAATCAACAAGCCAAGCTGTGATGATCTTTTACAAGTAGTCATAGCTGAACTCATGAAGGTGGTGGCACGTTGGCTTGGAGAATAGTCCTATATGATGCCTGCAACATAGAAAACTGAGAGAGCTTATAATTGGATGGCAGAAACTACTCCTGCAGATTGAAAAGGAAAAGAAGACAATTAATCAAGATAGTTAAAGAGTTGAATGGGAACTTCACAGGAATGGAATCCAAGTATAAAATAATCCTGAGAAATAGGCTCAATTTACTCATAATTGGTAAATTGCAAATTAAATGAGAACCTCCTACACAATTATCTGAACAAATTAAGTTAAAAAGGCTGCAATGTCTAGTATGGCCAAGGAGGTAAAGAAGTACTGATGGAGGGATAAGTTGGCAGTCATTTGAAAGTAGTATAGTATGATGTGCTGAGGTTAAAGAGAAAGCAAACGTATGAATAGTAATATTTAGATATGCACTCAACTATGTTAGTTCCCTTTCTATTGCTGTGTGTGGTGTTTCAAATGAAAATGGCGCCCACAGGCTCATAGGGAGTGACACTCTTAGGAGGTGTGGCCTTGTTGAAGTAGATGTGGCCTTGTTAGTGGAAGTGTGTCACTGGGTGGGGAGGGGAGGAGGTTTGAGGTCTCGGATGTTCAAGCCAGGCCTAGTGTCTCATTCTCTTCTTGCTGCCTGTCAATCTGGATGTAGAACTCTCAGCTACCTCTCTAGCATCATGTCTGCCTACATGGCACTTCCTGCCGTGATGATAATGGACTAAACTTCTGAACTGTAAGATAATTGCAATTAAATGTTTCCTTATAAGAGTTGCCGTGGTCTTGGAATTTATTCACAGCAACAGAAACCATAACTAAGACACTGTAATAACACGCCATAGCCAAGGCAATGTATAGAAGGGAGGGTTTATTTGATTACAGTTCCAGAGGGATAAGAGTCTGTCGTAGCTGGGAAGCATTGCAGCAAGCAGCAGACACGGCAGTTAGAGCAGAAGCTGAGAGCACACATCTTGACCTGCAAGCATGAAGCAGAGAAAGTAAACTTGGAATTACACAAATCTTTAAGCTCTCAAAGCCTACTCTACCTCCCAATCACATATTTCCTCTGAAAAGGCTACTCCTCCTAAACCTCCCAAATGGCACCATTAATTGTGACTAAGTATTGAAGCCCCCAAGCCTATAGAAGGCATCTCTCAGTCAAGTTATAACTTTGCATCGTCTGGGCTCCCACAAGCTCATGCCCATATCATCATGAAAAATGAATTTACTACTTCAAAAGGCCCCATAGTCTTTCACAGTCTCCAAAACTTTAAAAATCCCGTCTTTCCTGAGACTCAAGAACAATCTCTTAATTGTAACCTTCTGTAAAATCAAAGAGCAAAATTCATACTCCTACATACAGTGGCATAGAACATATATCACCATTCCAAAAGAGAGGACTGGGGACAGAATAAGAAAATACTGAACCAAAGTAAGACTGAAACTTACCAGAGCAAACACCAAATCCTGTACATACCTGATGTCCGAGACTGTAGTTTCAAAGGTCTTACGTAGCTCTGCCCCTCTAGCTTTCCCGCAACATACGTCTCTCTCATGAGATAGCTTCACAGCTTGTATGCAGCTCTCCGTGTTAGATGCCTCATGGCTCCGGCATCTTTAATGTCTTGGAGTCTCCATTGTAACCCTTGCTTACACAGCGGCATCTCACAGCCTCTTGAGCTATTAGGGCCTTCAGGCAGGGTTCTCCTGCCGTATTCTGGTTGGCCCCCACAGCTCTCTGAAACCAAGGAGGATTAGTCTATGACTCATTTACTTTTGCATTTTATATGTCTTTAAAGCCAGTATCTTGAGAACAACACTACCATGTTTGGGTACCAGTTTGAGATGGACTCTCGTCCTTTCGTATCGCATTAGCAACAGCTTCTACTTGTTGCTTTTTAGGAACAGAAACTCTATAAGCATTTTATTTTCACAAATTGGAAGTTTAGCAGAGTGGGGTCTTGCCCTAAGGCCACACTTTCCTTTGTTCTAATATATACCAGTCCTCTTCTCAATGGTGTAAATCTCCTTCATGATTATACCTTCTCTTCTAGCACATTCTTTGGCTCTAACATTAAATTTCCTAATTCTCCCTTACTCTCTAATTTGTATGTTTTAAAATTTTCTTTTTGACCACTTGTTCTTTTTCATTGTAGGCCTGAAGAAGCATTATCAATGACAACCACAGCACAGAAACAGTTATGCTGTTTTGACATTTTCTCTACCAAAGAAATTAATCCATGTATTATTTATTTTTCTGTAGCTGTGATAAAACACTGCGACTAAGGCAACTTATTAAAAAAATGTTTACCTGGTCTTACGGTTTTTGAGGGTTAAGAGTTCATAATGGCAGGAAGGCATGATGATGAGGATCAAATGTTTCAGATGAAATAGAAAGCCAAGATCTTACTCTTGAAATGCAAGCACAAAGCATTATAAACTTAAAAATGGTTCAAATTTTTAAATGGCCCAAAGCCCACCTCTGGTGACATACTCACTCCAGTAAAGCCAACCAGAGCCAGCAACTGGGGATCAAGTATTTAAGCATCTGAGGCTTATGGGGGGGGCACTTTGGTTCAAATCACCACAGTCCATCACCTTTTAATTAGCCTCTGGCAAGTTCTCAGGGAAAAAGGCAGAAGATGGCACTCCCGCCCTACAGGCTCCAGCTGGAAGGAATGCTGCTTATAGCATTCAACCATTTATCTCATCAACGTTTCAAAGTCTTTCATATTCTACCACATAACAGCAAGGTTAGGTTCATGACTGCACATACAGCAATACCCTACTCCTGATACCAACTAATTTGCTGCTGTGATAAAAATACTGTGACCAAGGTAACTTACTGAAGGAAGAGTTTATCTAGGTTTATGGTTCTAGAGGGCTAAGAGTTCACCATGGTGAGGAAGCATAGCAACAAGGAGCAGGCGTGGAGTCCGGAACAGGAACCTGAGGGCTTACATCCTCAACTACAAGAAAGAAGCAGAGAGAAGATATGGAAGGAGAACAAGGCTTTAAGTTCTCAAATCTCACTCCTAGTCAACTACTTCCTTTAGCAAAGCTGCACCACGTACATCTTTGTAAATAGAGCCAAGAACTGGGTCCAAATCTCCAAACCCCTGAGTCAATAAGGGGCATATCTCATTCAAATGATGGCAGTGTGTATTGTGTTTCAAGCTGAATTTTCCCTTCCTTTTTCTCAGCACTTGCACAATGAACGTCAGTCTTCGTGTGTGTGTGGGTGAGTATGTGACAAAGGTGCTACTCAAAAAGCTAGAGAATTATTTTTCTGTCTTCAGCCATGGGAGTTTCCTGACAACTCCATTTTCAACTTCATTTTTTACCTGTGCCAGCCATTTCCTATGAAGCCTCTTCTACAGAAAAGACTGCATAATCTTCTTGAAGTATTGGTCTTTGAGGAATGATCGCTCAGATCTTGGCGGTTACACCTAGTACATCCTCGAAGAAATGAAGATCTGAGTCCTGCCTGCTATGTTACCTTTGGTGACCAGCTAACAGAGTGTGCAATAAATCCCACCTGAGCATTGATAGAGGCCAGAGAGGCAGTTTGGAACATTAGTAAGCACATAAAAATTATTGAGAAAATTCTTCTAGAAATGATATTGGCCATATGCTCAGATGTAGTCGAGTGACTAATAAATTTTCCTTGATCTTCTGTTCTTTTAAGATCTCATTTGTATAAAGCGAGCAATGAAAGCAATTACCCTCACAGTCAGATTTGTAACTGCTGAGAGGGAGGTAGGGAGTTCTGACGGAGAAGGTAGGGTGAGTTCAAGGCTTTTGTAGTGGTGTCATGTTCTGTTTCTTGACCTGGGTGTGGGTACATGTTATTAGCTTGATTAATCACCATTCATTACGTTGTACTTTCATGTTTTGCCTACAGTACACTCATTCAGAACATTGTAGAGGCTGCTGCTGTCAGGGACATATCCAAAGTAAGTGTCTTCAATGCTTATGTGCTTCCCAAACTCTGTCGAGCTGCACCATTCACAGCAATTTGGTCAGGAAGCCGGAAGGACTGAGCACCCCCACCATGATTAGACCTGTTGGTGATGCACCACTACCTCCTCCAAAGCCACGTAAAGACAAAAGGCTTTGGTGACAGAAGGACAGAGAAAAAAACACTCTGGACAAATAATATGGAAGTTATACTAAAAAAAAAAAATAAAGAAAGCATGTACTTCAGATGCAGGGTCTAAGGGGCCCTGAGCTGGAACAGACATGAGTGTCTCCTGCCTAAGTATTAGCTCTCATTGTACCAAAAGGTGCCATACAAACTCCCAAAGGTGAGAAGCAACCAACAGTCCTACTAGCTGAGACACCTTTGAACCACAACAATGGCCCATGGGGCACAATAGCCCTAAGAATGCAGTAGTGGCAGGCATATCTTGGTGGTAACCCACAGTTCTCTAACTGAAGCTAAAGGACTCACAGATCTTCGAGGAGAACCTACAATAACTACTTTACCAAAAATTCATAATCCTCAACCACATTCTGAATATTTCCTTATGCCCACAGACAAATGTAGTCCTCATCCCTCATCAAGGGAACTTCTTGCAGCAGATTGGAGACCATTGCAGAAGACCACAACCAATCAAAATGCAGCTGGAGAGCCCAGTCCCAGTGGCTACATCCACAACCCAATTCCTGCAGCTAAGGCTCAGGGAACACTGCAAGAGAAAGGGTGGAAATATTTCAAGAGTCGGAGGATCAGGGAGTTCGCTGTGAGACGTAAGCATGAGCTGAACCAGGGTGACAACAATATACGTGCTAATGTGGACTAAGAAAGACCATGTGATTTCAACCCTGCACAAGCCACTATAGTCAACTAAGGAATGCTGAGAGTGGGAGAAATAGAAAACACCAATTGCTTTTCCACTACTGAACAGTCACCCCTGAAAACATACAAACGAGTAACATTATTATAGACTGAGTAGATCACATTTAGGAATGTATATGTGTATACATATACGCATAACAACAAATAATTTTTTAAAAGACCATGAGTTTGAAAGAGAGCAAGGATGGGTATATGGGAAGGTTTGGAGGAATGGGAGTTAAGGGGAAAACAATGTGACTATATTATAATCTCAAAAATAAAATAAAAACTTTTGAAATATAGAAAAAATGAATGAAGAAAAACTAAGAGAAAACAAAAAGTTGCCACATGTGATTCAGCTGCATAACAAAAAGATATGGTTGTGAAAATTAACATATAAAATTAAGTTATAATGGGGAACTTCGAGAGTGGGAGACTAAAATATTTTATGGTTTTTTTTTTTTAAAGAATGTGTGCGGTCTTGCAGTTAAATACGTGTCTAGAAATGTTCCTCACGGCGTGGGAAGCAGGACTTGTTATATGCAGTAGAGTTGACTGTCTTCAGTGAGTCCAGGACTCGGTGAATACACAGGACTGTCCTTGCATTTGATGTCTTCCATTAATATTTTATTGAGAAGAGAGTTTATAGTTTTCCGTGATTCACATAGGAAATAGGACTCCCTTTCTTTCTTCTTCCTCACTTCTTTCTTCCTTCTTTTACAATAATTAATTAATTTAGTATGTGCATGATTGCTCCCTAAGTGGTCATTCTACTCAGCATATCAGAATAAAATAATAATAATAATAATAATAATAATAATAATAATAATAATAATAATAATAGAGTGCCACGTGCTCCTCAAAAACTTTCCGGGGTTAACAAGTGTGGAACACAAACACATAATTAGGTCCAGGAGACTGTGTCAGGATGGAGAAGATGATCAGCGACACGGACCAGATTTATTTATCCAATGTCCACTTTGTGTCTGTGGGGCAGTGTGGGGCAGATGCTTATAAAAGTTTCACCAGGATAATCAAACCACGGTGAAGCATTTAGGACTTTCCTGAGGAGCTTTAGGAGAGAGAGATCGCTTCCAGCCACAGTAACTAGAAAGTTTTGCACTCAAGAAGGAAACTGCTCTTTGAACAACAGCTATGGCTTAACAGGCAAGTGGTCAAAGAATTGCTTCATGTACCCACTGACATGAGGGTAGAAACGAATGTGAAATGAAGGGTTTGTGTCGGGGTCAACCGGGGATTACACTTCAGACAGAATCAAGTTTCTCCATGAAATGTTATTTGAGAATAAAAAAAAATCCTAAAGTGGAAAAATTTCTAGAACAGAATGGTGTACGGTCACAAGGGGGTGAAGTAGAAGTGACATGAATCTTGGGCACTATTCAAGATGATTGCAAGATTGACTAATTCTACGTGCTATTTCTTCTATCTGTTTTTCTCTTACTATTTTTGAGGTGGGAAAAAAGTCTATTCTATTATACCTTTAATATATGCCCAGTACCATGCTACGCACTTTAATAGGTAGATTTAATTTATTTTTCACATCAGACCTTTTGTGATAATGATGTCATTAGCTTACTTTGTAGATAGAAGAGGTTTGGGATTTAAATTGGTTCTTTTATTGTCATGAAAATGAAATTCATCACAAATTGAGTTTACTGTTAAAGCAATGGTTGGGGAATTCTTTTGCATTGCAGATATTCCGTATTTAAATTTTTTTAAAGAATGTATACCGTCTTGTGGTTAAATATCTGTGTCTAGAAATGTTCCTCACGGAGTGGGGAGCAGGACCTGTTGTATGCAGTAGGGTTGACTGTGTCTTCAGTGAGTCCAGGACTCGGTGATTAAACTGTGTGTGTGCACGTGTACACTTGAGTATG